CCTCTATGCTGATGTATTAGTAAACGGCTTAACACCGATGGGCGCTGTTGGAGATGAAATTGATTAGTGCTTTTGACCGAGTCCAATTCGGAGCAAGGAAGCATGAAGAGGTTTACAACGAAATTGACAGGTTGTCAAATAATCGTCTCAGACAATCTACTACACCCTCCTTTTAGAATAAATGGAATAAGCTTATGAGTATTAATAAAGCACTGAACTGGGTGCTATCTTTTATGACACAAATAATATTCCTATTCCGCAAGACCTGTGTACTGTAACATCCATGCTTGTCGTAAAAGGCGATTAACGTGATCAAGCTCGTCATCGTATCGCAATTGCGTAAATCGAAGCTCATGCTGTCGATCACTGGATTGTCTGGTCCGGACTCGATTATTTACAGACGGTCGCCATATAGCTGGAATATTCCCGAGTGCGGAGTAAAACTAAACTCACTCACTCACTGTAAGACGGCGTCTGCAAGGACAGCATCAGGTGGGTGGTTCGATCCCCGACCCTAACATATCAAAGCACGTTAAACATGGTAATTGTTGTTGCCCTGGCGCTGGACATTCAGGAGATGAAAGAAAGACGGGTGAGATGGGAATCAGTGCGTGGATTGAGTCACAATGGCAGTATTTCTGCCATATCGACACCATATCAGTGTACTGTGTCTGAGTGTGCCTAAGGTGGTATTGCAGGGGGTTAGCATAACAAACCGGAAGCCAAGAAGCCAAAAATGCACACCGCTACATAACAGTAATGTTAACGCGACGTTTGAATCCATTTAACTTCACCGCAACATCAAACTGTACTATGATTGGTTGCTTGGTCATATGTTTTCAGGTGAATATATTGTGATCCTCAAACGACGAGTTTAATGCTTCCGTGCCTGACTTATTAGGAACAACAGACACATACACACACAAAGCCACACACGCATACAGACACACACACACACAGACACACACACGGCATGTGTCTACATTCTACTTTAAACTTTTAATCACGATTTTCTATGAATTGCATTTTTATGAACAAAAAATCATTTGAAAACTATTAAATAAACAGTGAGTGAGTGAGTTTAGTTTTACGCCGCACAGCTATATGGCGTCGGTCTGTAAATAATCGAGTCTGGACCAGACAATCCAGTGATCAACAGCATGAGCATCAATCTGCGCAACTGGGAACCGATGACATGTGTCAACCAAGCCAGCGAGCCTGACCACCCCATCCCGTTAGTCGCCTCTTACGTCAAGCATGGGTTACTGAAGGCTCATTCTAACCCGGACCTTCACGGATCTATTAAATAAACAGAGGCCACCTGATCAATAAGAACACAACTAGAATAAATGGTCAACACATATGTAGATTTCGGTGATGAATGTCTTGGGCTTCTGTTTAAAGGATGCAAGTAGTGTCCATTTGTCATCTTGGGGTTAAAACGCCAATAATATGTCACTTATCATCACTCACCCGTGGTATTTTCTCAGATGAACACTTGACTTGTCTGTGCATGTGTTTGTGTCAGGTGGTGCAGGATACACTAACCATTTCCTGAATTCCTGGTATCAGCACAATTGGATACTACGACACAGACGCAATAGTACACTGGGCTCCGTATTTTGCAGACATTTCTTATGATTATGAAAAGGGTTGTATAGTGCTGTTTGTGGCATCCGCTCAGATTTACCCTTTCCATAATGGCACCGATAACGGAGCGATCGACCTTTAAGTAAATAGTCTTTATATATGACATGGTCTTATGTGTGATGTATATATCCGTGCTCAGCTGATATTAACCGACTCAATCCAATCACATCATTTGCGTATGAACAATGACTGGTTAAAATAGGTTCAGCGGATTCAAGGTACCCGGCTTGGAAGTCGGTCAATGAACATTTAACATAGTCTGGGGCACAGTGAGCCGGCTATTCTGGACATCTGTCTTCAACATGATGAGTGTTGACTGACTAGAACATGAGCACACATTACCATTCCATAGAGGCCAGGAGTGATTTCGAAGAAAGTATGAGTTTGGACTTCTAACGAGTGAGAGTGAGTGAGGGAGGGAGGGAGGGAATGGGTAACGGAGTATGTGACTGAGTGACTCACTGAGTGAATGAGTGTAGTTTTACGCCGCGTTTAGCAATATTCTAGTCATATTCTGATAGCAGCAATGGGCTTCACACATTGTACCCATGTGGGGAATCGAACACGGGCCTTCGGCGTGACGAACGAACGCTGTAACCACTAGACTACCCCACCGCCCCGGTGTCTGACTGAATGACTGAGTGACTCCGTCGACTGAATGAGCAACGGAGTATGTGACTGACTGAGTGACTGACTGACTGACTGACTGACTGACTGACTGAGTCATGAGTGACTGAGTAACAGAGTATGTGACTGACTAAGTGACTGAGTGTGACTGAGTGTGTGACCGAGTAGGTGACTGAAGGAGTGACTGGTTCACTGACCAACTGAGGTAAAATTTTACATCACATTGAAAATATTTCAGCCACATAGCTATGAGAACAAACATTTAGACAGAATTACACTTTTGGAATCAAACACAACATGACACAACCATTACCATTCCATTCCATCATTATTCCATACTTCGTGTCTTATCACATAAAAACAAGCACATTGATCACATGCAACAAGTTAGAACAATTTAGTGGGGATCGGGGACTCACAGGACCTCTGCTCCTTGCACGATTCCCCCATCCTGATTTCAGTACAACAGCAAGGATGGGACACATTCTTGTGGCAGATCATCAACAGCCACTACAAGCATTATATTCTGCACTGTTGACCCATATTGCTATCTACTCGGATTCTTCTTATCTCAGAGCATCACTATTAAAAATGTATACAAGGCTTGTGGCATGTTAACACAGAAATACATTATCCAGCTTGTAGTTGATATCACGTTACCATGGTAATCTTGTCATTTCAGGTGTCAGTATACCACGCTGTAGTCACAACGACACCACCTACCATTTTATCGTTATAAAATCGATGGAGGCCAGTTTAATGATCTGAAGAAAATCCAATTGAAATGCCATTAAGAAGTTAAAAAACGATGAGGAGCTCTGTAGAACGCTGTTGCTGTTAATGTTATTATTTTACGGAAACGTCCTTAATGGCTCTTAGTAAAAGGCCCTTTCCTTATCAGGCTGTAAAAGTCATTTTATAAACATATTTGATAAAATCTTTTAAATTCTCATTAGCTTAAAACAAATCCTATTTTACTTTGCATCGTTTAACATATGCACTTCCATTTTCACATACATGTATGTTAGGTGTATGAACCTTCCATTAGCGTTGCATTGGTTGCATGTCATTAAAAGACCGATATCGATTTTTCTAACCGTTTTGATACTTTTGATAATTTTAAAAGCATTTGAAGATGTTACCCAGATCCTACCACAATGGTTAAGGGGTCACTTATACTCTTTTATCCACTGGCATCAGAGCAGCAAGACGTTTATCTAACAAAACACTTTGAACAGTTCAGTATCCGCTGTACTTCACTCGATGTGGAGGTTAATAGGACTAGATACATGAATCACATCATTTCCGCATGGTATTTAGAACACCTTTAAGCATCACTCTTGATCATATTCATTTGATATTCATTTCATAAAGATTTATATCTCTAGTCATTGCCTATACCATCCCCCATAGGTATCTTAGCATGACGTGTTTGCCAGGGGACAATCTCTTGCAGACATCAGATCATTTTGGTAATACCCTCCGTGTTTCATAAGGGAGAGAATGTATATATCACATCTTCATTCGACATCGCTTCATTTAAGTCGTGTATACAGTGTTATTTAAAAAGGATTTATAATGAAACGGTGCTGACATTGTGATTCTGCAGCCTTTATGCAAAGTCTGTCATGGCTTGGGTTGTTTAAACTGTAATTACAACGCGTTTGGCCTACATACTCATACGCTTGAGAGTTGTCAGCAGAAAAATAATGACCAGTTTCACAGGACAAACGATGTTCACATATTGCATAAAACCTCTATTGATCAGTTAAGGCATTCACGCATGTTGAATGACATCACCAGCAACTCATTCGGGACAATGACTTTAGCACTCACAAAACCGCCGCTGAATTTACAAAATAAGTTGCCTACTTTCCACAATCCCTCAAAGTTGAGGCATCGGGTCTGTTTCTATTATACAGGTGCACTGGGAATACAAATCAATAAGGTTATATGAGACAACCATGGAATAATTATCCTGTGGTGTGCCTACATTATAGTGTTTACAGTCTAAACACACATTGTATGAAGAATGTGTGGTACGCTGAAACAATTGTGCTCTTTGATGTGGTAAAATATTATGTCAATAATGCCCATGATTGCCTTTTTAACTACACAAAGCTTCACCTTTTACACTGATGGCATTGTCCTGGCTATTGTTTGCGATGGCAAATTGATGCATTATATCAGCATAGACGTAATTTTAACTGGTAGCTGACATTTTAAAATGTCAGAGTTAATATTGGCTTATAACGATGCTATTGGATTTTAATATATGAACAGCACTGAAATGTAATTAACTCTGTAAAGTGGGTCTTAATAATGAGATACCAAATGCAGGACTTAAACAAAATACATGGTTTCATCATACAAAAGAAACCCTCTTACAATTAGGAGAGTAATGTTTGGACTGAACAATATGGTACGGTAACAAAGAATGTATAGATGTAGCCTCACTAAAACGTGTATAAACTAATTCTAGAGTTGACAACATATAAACACGTTAATTAACGTCTTCACGCAAGCATGATATACTATTTCAAACCTTGCAGATCAAACAGAACGAATGACTTAACGGTTACAAAAAACAACGGTAAATTAGCCAGAGAAACATCGACATCATCAACACAAGGGCGTATAATACTAAACCTTTCACTTTGACATGATCACCAAAGCCGAGATGTGCAATAAAATCGCGGTTGTATAAAACTAAAAGCACTCACCGAATTGTGGGGCTTTCTCTTCCACCATTCAAATGTATCATACTGGTAGCTCCCGTCTGAAGATGAACGCTTTTCTCGTCTATCCTTCGAGCTAATACTTGATTTAGGGGACACATCACGGCTTGATTCTGATAATGGTCCTAACAAGTTTAATACATCGTCCTGATGCAAAATACTATTGAGCTTCCTCCATGAGTCAAAATTCCGCTGGTATGCTTTACTTCTCAACTCCTCCTCGAGCCGTTTAAGTTCTGTGTAACCAAACCAGATTGAAATTCCAAAAAGAGTGGTTAATATAAGTGTAAGAATATATAACAAACGAATATGAACAATGATGTTCAGAGGTTCCTTGAGAATCTTCTCCTTGATAACTGTCTCCGTCTTTGTATGTGACATGTTGGACGACTGATGGATTATGCCCCCGTATTTAATGGAAACTTGATATCAGGCGTATCGTGTGATTAGTAGCTGCTGCTGAAACCTAATAAGGTGTCAAACATCTGTACAATCCAAGATCTTCAAATTAAACTCACCGATCCGATGTTGGCGCTGTCAGGAGCGCTTTCAAATTTCAATTAAATACCAAGCCATCCTCACTGTGTTCAAATTTCAAGTGCTGAGCGAGCAGTGGCTGAGATCAACCTTATCGTTTAGCTGTCGGAAGGACTAAGGACGGAAAGGAAATAAAGCTACTTGCAAATTTACCTGACTGTATAATACCTGTCCGAGTGGAATAAGATCTTGTAAAATGATTTCCACAAACCTACTCAGATCCATTCAGAGTAAGCTGTCTATGAAACACTTCACCTCCTCGTTGTAGACACCTCCAGTCCACCCCCGCGCTTAACACACTTTCACCCAAGATAATTATCTGTGGGTGAGTATTAGGTAAAAACGTAGACGTCTCCCTTAAGGACTGAAATAGGATACAGATTCAGGTTGTAGGAAATGAGCATCCATGAAGGAATTCGTGTCACGTAGATCGTAACAACAGTTCCACATAGGGCTTCTGTCACAATGTTATACAGCGGAGGTCTGCCACATCACTGGTCGGTAGAGCGATGTTCCTCAAATCCTGATCAGCGGGTTTACTAACGATTCGACAACACAACACTGACACTGACTATCTGTCAACAGGCACTCATGGATGACGGAACGGATAAATTGACAATCAGTCCCAGGCGCGGTAGTCAAGACAGAGCTTTTATCTGCAGTAGGGTGCTAGTGGGCTCGCTGTTATGACGGGTTTGGATCTAGTGCATTGATCTTCGGAGACGCAATTTCATTACGCGGGGGCACTTAAGCCACCAGTCTTGCCGTGTGTCCTCAGAACCGCTAGACTAAGGAAAGCTCAAATCGTGTGCATGATCCAAATAATCTTGAACATATGGGTTCAGCAGTGAAAGATAGCGTCTGTCTGTGTCAAAGATGAAGGTGCCTCTTCGACCCCCATCAATAATTTAATCCTCTACAATTTGTTGATAAAGAGAATCAATAAATCAGTTTAACCACAGAATCGCTTCCAACCCGTCCAACTTCAATGGTGTGGAGACCCTGTAGGCACGACTGTATCATTAGAGGTCCCTTACCATACAGTAATTCCCGTCCTTGACACCGTCTTTAGACACGTCAAAGGTTGAAAATGGAACCTATAGCTTGAGAGTTAATATTTAATATCCCCAAATGTCATCTGGGAAAATAAATGAGCTTCTTCAATACAGAATATGTCCATTTGCCTTTTGGAACTGTGTTTTCCCGCTTGTTGCGACAAGGCTGTATTTCAGATGATATAATTCCTCTGACACCGCTGTGACATCTTTATCGCAGAGGCCATGCCACACAACTGATAGAGGAGGCACCAAGACCCTGGTTCATAAGTATCTCAGACACCGCAACACTCGACACAATATTGAAGTGCAATCAAATTCCTTTAAGCTAGTGTATCGTAATCCTAGAGAGCTCCTCGCGAACGTACTGCTTTGCAATTTGATAAGGAGATAAGGACCACAACCTGTTTCCGCAACGTATCAATATTTCGTCTTCTTCGTCACTGCCTCAAATTAGACGAGTCGGCAAATACCGCGAACCATGGAGCCAACGACAATACGAAGAAGAACGTGGGTATGATCTTAATTCTCACACACGAAGCGGAGTCCACCTTGTCAACTCTCTCCCGCTGACGCCCGCTTCCAGGATTATCTTATAAAATCATGCACAGTGGGTGTCAATGTTCAGCGACACGGAATAACGCAATGTTTGATTGAAAGCTTTGTAGCTGTGAATAGGGCTCCTGTGTTTCATATGAAGCGGGTCTCTATTTTCTTGTCCTCCAGGAACATGAAACCAGTGTAGCAGGGATTGCGAGCTGATTTATTTCTCATTCTCGCTTTCCGTTTTCGAGCCCATAAAACACGCTACAGTAATTGGTAACATATCATAGCCAAGCTCTCTACTGAGGGTTATCTGTTAAAAAATATTTTGGCAAAAATCTATTTGTTAATGTAACGTGAATAATCCTATTGCTGTAATTGTGTTTATTACATATTAGATTTACATTATTGCGAGAAGAAAAAGCGACAAATGTCATCGCACAGCGTATTTCTATCGCCATGTTATGTGTTCCTGAGAAAAATTCAAATATCGATCTCTCCTAATGTAATTTGTTCACTAATTCAGAAAACAGAATGAAGTGATATCCTGGATTTGTTCAGATGCTAGTGACGACTCGCCTCTCTCGTTAAGCTGTACTTGTAAAACATTGATAATTGTTTAACTATTCCCGGGTAATCTGCCTCTTAGCAACTCTGTGTCTGTCTATTTGAACAGAATGTTTATCGATTAGTTGTTCGAAATCAGGTCTCGTTGAGACTATGGTCGCTACGTATATACAATGTATAAATAATGAATCGGAAATCGCATTGCTGTGACATATTTCATCCGTTGTATGACAGTCACATATGTAATCTCTCTATGAAGATAAAACATGTTTTGCAAATGGATAAGCAAATATATTTGCAATGAATCATGGTTAGCTTAAACTATGCAGATGAATTCAAGAGCTCAAGACTCAACGCAAAACAGTTGGTTCTTCTATAAATCTTATTTTCCCTCGTAGGCGCAAAGATGAAGACTTTCAATTCATCATATCTTAGGCACCTCGTGCTATTTTCTTTTCAGCGGGAACCCAATCGTTATTGATCGCGCTGGAAGAAATAAGTTCTGTCACTACTAGTGACAATCAACCGCTCGCAAGCCCATTGTAGATTTTTTAATTTTTGTATTAACGTAATGTCATAGGTTCCATTGAGGAATGTTTTTTATCTGCACGGTCTTGGTCGCATGTTGTTGCCAAGTGTTTAGTCTGTGCGTCATCCAATAATGATGGAGCGAATGAGAAAAACAATTGAGTATGTCAGCATCTTTTCTGCCTCTTTGTTGTTTTGTACTTATTTTTTTCCGCGTTATTGATTCGAGTTACTCATACGCCGTATATGACGAATGTTTCGCAACACGATTGGAGAGCGGAAATTAGTTAAGTTTTGCTGAACCATTAAATATTTGTTGTTGGTACTGAATTTCAAACTATGTTCTATTCAAATGTCCCCAGTGTTTTATCATTGTAGTGGAGTATGACATGAGTTTCTCATTGATTGATCATTCAGCTGCCCCATCTCTCTAACCTAAAGATCTTCCCATCGTTCAGCCTGGCTACCCCATCCTTCCACCAACAAGTAGGCCACCCAGTCGTTGTACAAGTCAACGTATTGAATCGCATCGTGTCTGTTATATCTCTTCTTGAAAGCTTTGGGTTTGATAATTGTAACAATTGCTGAGTATGGGATGTATGATGTCCTTTGAAATATTTTAGGAAAATTCACCTAAAAGTGTCAAAATATTAATATTGACATCAAAAACAGGAGCAGCTAAGTTCTTGCTGGACACAAACTATACTTTGGACAAATGACATACTGCAGTGTGTGCAGGCTTGTTTTCTCACTCAATGTTCATGCATACATGATTTATGTAAGACAAGTCTCAAATATTGATTTAGTATAAACTTGGAATATCATATTACATGTATATGCCGTGCATATGCCGTACTGTCATATGTATAAACAACCCAAATGCTCAATTTTTGTTTCAGTCATGTTCCGGTTGTGGATTTTGGGGTTCTTAAGCGTGAGTGAGTGAGGTTGTGAGTATGGTTTTACGCCAGTATTTGGTGATTTATGCCAGCAACATCACTGATGGGATACCAGAAAGGGGATTAACGCATCTCACTCATAACTCATAATTGATCGAACCTGGACCTTAATGGCGACACTTTTTCCGATAGGCTACAGCCAGACATCACACGAGAACCAGATTTGCACATGCTCCAACCATCCTACAGCTTCGATTTAATGGTTGGTTTGTTGTTTGACGCCGCACTCAGCAATATTCCGACTATAAATAATTGTAAATAATTGAGTCTGGACCAGACAATCCAGTCATCAACATCGTGAGCATCAATCTACACAGTTGGGACACGATGACATGTGTCAACCAAATCAGCGAGCCTGACCTTCCCGTCCTGTTAGTCGCCTATTACGACAAACATGGATTACTGAAGACCAATTCTAACCCGGATCTTCACGGGTTTCGATCTGATGGACATGTATTTATGCTCTTAATCTTGCTTACCGTCTGGACTTTAACACCTAACATACAAGGACCGCGGGCGCGAAACAAGACGTGACCAGACACAATTACCGTAACGGCGGCTGAAGTATTTCACCATTCTTTTTTTTCAAATTGTTGTAGTTACCCCCACCCATCATTACCTAAATTAAATGACAGGGCCTGTAAATATTCTAATCGGGACCAGACAAGCCAGTGGCTAATATCAAGAACATTCTAGGAAATTAGGATACGATGACATGCATCAACCGCGTCAGCAGCCCTGATCAGCCGATCCCGTTAGTCGCCTCTTACGACAAGCACCTTCACCCGGCTTGTTTCTGTGGCATTTCCAAGGCATTCTAAACTGTGATTTATCACATTAAATACAAATTAGGATCTTGCGTATCGGAATGACGTATGAGTAAAACTATACTCTAATTAGATTTGTCATGTATATGTTAATAATTGCGAATAAAATGGTTTAGTAAATGTTACGAATCGATGTAACCTTTCAAATGCCTTCTGAGCAAGAACAAATAATTAAAACTTCTGTTATCAATAAAGGACGAATCTTTAAGAAACGACTTCTGATATTTGTTTATCATAATTGACAAAGAAGGATAGTATTAATAATACACCTTGTTTCGTTGTAGTGTCGACCCGTGAAGGTCCGGGTTAGAATATTAATCTTCAGTAACACATGCCTGTCGTAAGAGGCGACTAACGGGATCGGGTGGTCAGGCTGGCTGGCTTGGTTGACACATGTCATCGGTTCCCAATACGCAAATCGATGCTCATGCTGTTGATCACTGGATTGTCTGGTCCAGACTCCATTATTTACAGACTGCCGCCATATAGCTGGATTATTGCTGAGTGCAGCGTAAAACTAAACTCACTCACTCACTCGTTGTAGTGTCATGCCGCTCTAAGAAGAATCCAAGCTATAGGACAGCGGTTGGTAAATATTTGTAATATTTGACCAGACAATATAGGTTCAATATAATGCCAAACGACCCACGCCTTCGGTTGCAATGTTACGTATACAACAGGTTACCGAAAATAACAATGCGATCCATTTCAACGCAAGCATAGGTTGTTATAAACCAATTCTAAGTCCTGACTCCCACTGGAGTAGTTATAAAGTAATCTGTCCCAGAAGATGAGAGATGATATTGTAAAAGCAGGATACAATCAAACAGTGTTATCCGAGGTTGAAGGAACCTTCATAAATACTTCGAGTTATCGAGGGTTTGAAACAACTTCGAAATGGAAACGAAAGTATGCTTAGACCATGCTTTTACTTCGAGACAACCTAAGTTCACACATCAACACATCAAAGTGTGACTGTACTTGTAAATATATACACGAAGCCCGCAATACAGGCGACGTGTAAAGGACAGATATCAGTGGATGTTTCTTAAAAGTGTTTACGCTTAGTTCAACAAATAATTCATAGGCACTGTGACATGTTGACGTGCCATTACATCGTCCCAGCTCCTGTGGGGACCCAGGTTCCAGGAAGTCCTAAGGACTCCCATGCTGATCGTTATCGCCAACTAAATCGGATTGGATGGTCCGGCACTTTAACTTGTCTGATTCCATGTTGCCATGACCAATGACACAGTTGGACGCTCATGCTTTCTGTCGGCAATTTCACTAATCCAGACTCAATTATGTATATGCGGCCTTGACACAGCTGGAATATTGCTGACTGCGGCGGCAATAAACATTCACTTACAATCGTTACAATCTTGGGGTAAGAATTTCAATTCCACAGCATACGCTTTCCATCACAGCTGTTCACTTCATTTCATCGATGCATTACAACGTCCTCATGATGGATTGAGCGCTCATCGTGAATGTAGACGATGAGAATTGATCACCGGTTTCACTTTACCCGGTATCGTGAGTGAACAAATTTATTAATGTGTCTTTTTTTCTTTTGTTTGGAATATGCTTATTCAAAGTGACAGAAAGTTGAAAAGTAGCACGTTGGGATATTGAGGATTTGCTGATATTAATAATAATAATAATAAATGGATATTTCTTATGCGCCATAATCCATCCAGAGCATGCTCAAAGCGCTACATATAAAAAGAGTCACTAGAGTTCATGAGGAAAATATGACAGTTCGTCAAAATGACCATGAGAATATTTCGCAGTTATAGGTTGTAGAAATTTTTCGTAGAGGAAGGTTTTGAGTCCCGATTTGAATGCTTCTAACGATGAAGCATTTTTGATGGGAGTAGGAAGACTGTTTGAGGAATTTTGGACTTATCCTTTATCTGTGTTTTATGATTTTCCCACGGATTAGTTGCATGTATACGAAACGTGTACCACTTCAGTGAATTGACAACATAGCATCTGAAGCATATTAACTCCGGGTGCCTTATCAGCAAGTCATCACCTGGTTGCTATGGTAATGTTTAGCAGTGGTGACTTTTATTGATTGACAGGTAATACAAGACTTTTGTCACAAATAATTCATACTAAGGAAGGTCATTTTGTTTAACATGTGTATTATGATA